GGCTTCAGCAATACGTGAACCGTGAACTTCCAGATATTCAAGCTGGTTTTAGAAGATGCAGAAGAACCAAAAATCAAATGGTCAACATCTGCTGGATCATCAAAAAAGCAAGAGAGTTCCAGAAAAGATTCTATTTCTGCTTTATTGACTATGCCAAAGCCTTTGACTGTGTAGATCACAACAAACTGTGGAAAATTCTGAAAGAGATGGGAATACCAGACCACCTGACTTGCCTCTTTAGAAACCTGTATACAGGTCAGGAAGCAACAGTTAGAACAGGACATGGAACAACAGACTGGTTCCAAATAGGAAAAGGAGTACATCAAGCTTGTATATTGTCACCCTGCTTATTTAACTTCTATGCAGAGTACATCATGAGAAACGCTGGGCTGGAGGAAGCACAAGCTGGAATCAAGATTGCTGGGAGAAATACCAATAACCTCAGATATGCAGATGACACCACCCTTATGGCAGAAAGTGAAGAACTAAAGAGCCTCTTGATGAAAGTGAAAGAGGACAGTGAAAACGTTGACTTAAAGCTCAACATTCAGAAAACTAAGATCATGGCATCTGGTCCCATCATTTCATGGCAAACAGATGGGGAAACAGTGGAAACCATGGCTGACTTTATTTTTTTGGACTCTAAAATCACTGCAGATTCGGATTGCAGCCATGAAATTAAAAGACACTTGCTCCTTGGAAGGAAAGTTATGACCAACCTAGACAGCATATTAAAAAGCAGAGACGTTACTTTGCCAACAAAGGTCCATCTAGTCAAGGCTGTGGTTTTTCCAGTAGTCATGTGTGGATGTGAGAATTGGACTGTGAAGAAAGCTGAGCACTGAAGAATTGATGCTTTTGAACTGTGGTGTTGGAGAAGACTCTTGAGAGCCCCTTGGACTGCAAGAAGATCCAACCAGTCCATCCTAAAGAAGATCAGTCCTGGGTGTTTATTGGAGGGACTGATGCTGAAGTTGAAACTCCAATACTTTGGCCACCTGATGCGAAGAGCTGACTCATTTGAAAAGACCCTATGCTGGGAAAGATTGAGGGCAGGAGGAGAAGGGGACGACAGAGGATAAGATGGTTGGATGGCATCCCCGACTCAATGGACATGGGTTTGGCTGGACTCCAGGAGTTGGTGATGGACAGGGAGGCCTGGCTTGCTGTGGTTCATGGGGTCAAAGAGTCCGACAGAACTGAGCCACTGAACTGAACTGAACTGAACATACAGTGAGTGATTGAAACTATGGCAGCAAATAAGACTACTCAGAGGGAGAATGTGGGAGGAGAGGGAAACACCAACAGTAAGAAGAGGGCCATGGAGGAGAAGCCAAAGGAAAAGTCTGGAAAGATTCAGCTTGAAAGGTAAGGGGAAGGAAACCAGCATAACATGCAAAAGAAGAGGAGAAAGTGACAGGAAGGATAGAATGGTCATGGGGGTTAAAGTACTGAAAGATCCAAGTAGGCTGAACCAAATACAGACTGAGTTTCAGGTCTATTGGGAGAGGTCAGGGAAGGTGATGTTAAGCGTTTGTTCCCCAAAATGACCAATTATGGCAAAGAACCACAACACTTCCTCCTTTAATTTAATGAGGGATCAAAAACAAAGAGGCTTCCATAAAAACATAATTCAGAAGATGGGGAGTTTGCTACAGGGACCACTGTGCTCCACCTAAAGACCAGTCTTCTTGTGGAAGAGTAGTGAAGAGTGTAGACCATGCAACTGTCTAGATTAAGTTCAAATCTAGATCTGCTTTCTAGCTGTGTGTCCTTGAATGAGTCATTTAATCTCTCTATGCTTCAGTTCCTCATCTTTAAAACAAGAACAGTGTCTTCTTTGTGCAGCTGTTGTGAAGATTAAATTTATTCACTTATTTAGTGCCCTTCATTAAGGTCATGTGCCAGGCACTAGAAATACAGCAATGAATAAAAGAGATTTGGTCCCTTGTTCATGCATTTTATAGTCCAGTGAAGGAGATAACTATTAGACAACTAATTTATTAGTTGTTGCCTAATCTATTAGACAACACAGGCCTTTGAATTACGGTTGCCATTTGTACTATAAGAGAACACAGGGAGTTCTGTGATCAGATTTAAAATTTGCCAAAGCTTCTCTAGGAAGTAAGGAAATGATATTTAAATTAAGTCTTGAAGAATGAGGAACTGGTTAAATAAAGAGAGGTGGAAGAACCATCCAGACAGATGGAATAACATACTCCAAGTCTCAGAGCTAAAGAGGAAGTACATTGCATGTGAAGAACTCAAAAGACATTGGAGTCTAGCGATAGGATGTGGGTAATCGCCTGATGTCAGACAGCAGAACTTGATAGCAGCCAGATAATGTGGAGCTTTGAGGGGTATTTCAAGGATTTTGAATTTTATCTTGATACCAGTGGGCAGCCACTGAAGAAGTTAAAAGTATGGGAGTGGCATGATGAAGCTTTTTCGTGACTGTATATCCTTTATTGGGCCGTTACAAGAGTAAATAAGAGGAGACTAATTAGCAGGCTGTTGCAGGACTCCAGGCAGGAGGTGATGCGTGGCTTGGACAATATGGTGGGGGCCACAGACATAGGTAAAAGAAAGCAGGTTCAGAATACTTTCATATATGATTTTTCTCAGTCTTCCTCATGTCATAAATTTAATAACTACTCACAGAATTATTCAAGCCAAAAACTTAAGTTATGCTTGATTCTTTCCTTTTTCTCACCTTTCACATCCAGTCACGGCAGCTCTATCTTAAATATGTCCCAACTGCAGCCTCATCTCAGCCTTTCTACCCTTACTAGCTCCACCCTAACCAAGCCACCTCTTCTCCCACCCGGACCATGGCAAGTGTCTCCTAACTAATCTCTGTGTCTGCTTTTCGTTCCAAGTCTATTCTCATAAACCATCTGGAGTGATCTTTAAGAGGCATAATTCAGTGACATTACACTCCACTGCTCAAACAACTTCAATGCCTTTTCATCACACCTGGAACAAAATTCAAATTTCTTACCATGGCCTCCTGGCTGCTCCCTGATCTGATCCCTTATGGCCTCTCTGGCTTGATTCCCTCACCTTGCCCACTTGCTCATCACTAGCCCCTGGTCACACTGGCCTTCCCTCCATTCCTGGAAAACACTGAGCTTATTCCCACTTCAAAGCCTTTAGGCTTGTTCCCTCTGCCTGGGTTGCTCTTCCCAGATCTTCCTGAAGCCATCTCCTCCATATTCTTTAGGTGTCTAAGAGAAAGAGCCCACCCCGTCCTATTTGCCTTCTTATTCTTAAACTGAAAATAATTTATTTATGCATTTACTCTCTTTTATCTGTCTGATGCCAGAAGAAGGTAGATCATTTTAGAACAAAAAGGCAAGTTAATACTGAGAGGAAATATCTATGAATCTTTTTCCAGGGTGGGAAGAGGTATAAAGACTTGTATTCAGAACACATAAAAGCTCTTACAATTCAATAATAAGAGGACAAATGACCCAGTTAAAACTTGGACAAAATGTTTAAATAGATATTTCACCTAAGAAGATACTCAAATAGCTTATAAAGACATGAAAATATACTTAACATCATTGCTCACTAGGAAGACATAAATTAAAACCACAGTCAGATCCCACATCACACCCACTAGAAAGGCTATAATAAAACAACAATAGCACATTCTGTCAAGGATATAAAGAAAAATGAACCCCCAGATATTTTTGGTGGGAAGGTAAAATGACATAGCCATTTTGCAAAACAGTTTGATAGTTCTCAAAAAAAAAAATTAGACTTAAATTTACCATACAACCCAGCAATTTCATTCCCAGGTGTCTATCCAACAGAATTAAAAACATTTGCTCATCCAAAAATTTATATACAATGTTCGTCAAAGTATTATTCACAATAGACAAAAAGTTGTAAACAACCCAAACACCTGTCAACTGATGCAAGGATAAACAAAATGTAGTACATCCAAATAACAGAATATTGTTGTATGGATATATTACAGCAATAAAGAAGAATGAACTATTGACATATGCAATGATCTAAAACACCATGCTAAAGGAAAGAAGTCGAATACTGTTAAAAGACCACACATAGTATAATGCCACTTATTTGAAGTATCCAGAATTGCAACCATATATAGACAAAAAGCATAATAAGAGATCATTCAGATCAGGGTGTGGGAATGGGAGTGGCTGAGATGGACAGAAGGGATATTTGGGGGGGTTATAGAAGTGTTCTGAAACTGAAGTGTGTTGATAGTTGCAGAATTTTGGAAATTTGTTAAAAGCCATTAAAGGGTACACTTAAAAGGGTGAATTTTATGGTATATAAATTATACTTCAATAAAGGTATTTTAAACATATCTCCTTTTAAAACACTATCCATTAGACAGTAACCTTATTTGAAAACAGGTATATACAAATGGTCTCCTCCTCTGTTACGTGGAGTTTATGGATGGGCACAAAGGCAAACCTCATGAATCCAGGTTTCCTTAATTTCATCAGGGAGCAGGAAGAAGTGGACTAATGTTTGTCCCTAGAGAAGGCATTGGTAAGCAAATTCACTATGACACCAGTTAAGAGAGGCAGCTTTGGAATGTTCACAAAGAACAGACTTCCGAATTCCCTGTGCATACTTTAGAGGCACCCATTCTTAATACAAGGATCTGCTAGTATAAAGTATTTTTATACATTAAAGTAGATCCTTTCACATTTCTGCAACATAATCTTTCGGTAGCATCTTTTGAGCTTCTGCTTTTAAATATTTAAAATATTATTCAATTCAGACATCTCATTAAATCATGTCTTACCACGTCTGCCTAGATGTATTTAAATGAGCTATTTATAACTCATTTCTGGATGTATTCACCTAATTATACTTTGACCCAGAATATGTATACAAATATCATACATTTACACATTTGAAGAGACAGAGAGGCTATACAAGTAGCTGGAAATGCATATTTAGTTTTGAGGATCTGGAAATACATTTTTCTCCATCATATTGCAATTATGTACCTGGAGTGTGATGGTCCTCTTTCCTGGGAAGTTTGGGAGGACAGACTTCCATCAAGGGAGTTTCCTCGGTGGCAGCCTGAAATGGTGGCCTTGGGGGAGATGGAATCTGACTGGAACGTTTCACAGACCACCTGGAGTCCCTTTTGGGGTTGGAGATAGTAGATTAGTGGGGTTTTTTTCCTTCAGGAATATCTTCTAGAATTATCATATTGTACATACATTGTTTTTTAAATTAAACAAAATTTGCAGCATAAATATGTCATAGACAAAGGGATTTTCCCTACATCTAAGAAGGAATAGAAACAGGCTTCTAAAAAGCCCCTATATCATTAGAAGCCTGTTAGGCTAAGTACTTTTATGTCCTTTATTTCATTTTGCCCTTGATTCTTTTCTCTTTTCACCTCCATATCCAGTATCTACAGAAGAAGAGCTACAAAACAATAATTCATCAAAGATATGTCAGTACTGAGGTAAATGGAATAGAGGCATGAGGCAGAAAACAAGGGTAAGTGAGAAACAGCTAATCAAATCAAAGCCAAAACGTGAAAACGAAAGTGCAAGGTTCAGAGTTTTTAATCATTCATCAGAGGGGAGATGTAAGACATTTTCCCAATTGAATACAATAACCTTTATTTGTAAGCACAAATTCATTTCACTTTATTGACAAAGTAGCTTACTTTAATTATATTTATCTGATAAATGTAATTCTGCCCAATGTGAGATATTTTCCCATCAGTATTACAGATAAATTTCTTTGCTAAAAGATAGATCCACAAAAACTGATCATAGAATTTTACCCCCTTACAATTTCTGTTGTATTTTCATGTAAAATAAGAAAGTATTGTTCAACCATGATGCATAGAGAGAATAGAATACAGCTAGAAGTTTGATAAAATAAGTCTTCTGAATTTGATCAAAGAATCCTTAAGCAAGAACATACTATGTATGTTTCATGTTAGATGCTTTGGAGATAAAAAAATAAATTAGATGAATTTGAGCCTTGAAATCAAGAACTCAGAGTTAAGTTTTAAAACAGGTAAACACAGATTATAGCATCATGTTCAATAGAAGTACAATGCAAGCCACAAATAGGAGACACATACCTTATTTTTAAAATCGTGATTTGAAATAGGCAAAATTAAAATTTTAACTATATATTCTGTTTAATCCAAAATTTTAATTTCAACATGTTGTCAATATAAATGTTACTAAGATACTTACATTTTCTTCAAAATATGGTGTACATTTTACACTTAACACCAGTTTAGACTATTCGATCAATTCAAAATAGTCATATTTCAGGTGCTCAGTAGCCAAATGGACCTGGTGGCTGTCATACTGGACAATGTGGGTTAAAGCAATTAGATAAGAGTTCAAGGGGGGTCAAGGTCTAAATTGGTCCCTAAAGGAAAGATACAATTTAGATAGGTGAAGGGAGGAAAGAGAGCAATCCAGTATGAGAGAACTGTCTGAGCAAAGCCTCAGAGGCTAATGCTGCAAGCCTTGCATCCTGGGAGCAGCACTTTACTAACTGAAGGGATAATTGAGGTCACCTAAGAAGGATGATGCTAGGTGGTGGAAGGCACAGAGAACTAGGGAAAGGAGTTCAGTCTTGAGGTGAGGGGACCCACTAAAGGCACCTAAGGAGGAAGGGATGCAATAAAAAGATGGTGCCTTATATATAATGAGCCTCTGTGGAATGATGAGTTAATAAATAAATGATGCATTAGAAAGATTAATCAGGCATTATGAACTATATTTATATGAAGTAGGAGAGGCTAGAGGTAGAAAATCCAATCAGGTGTTTCCAGCTGCAATCTACACAGGAGGACCTGGATTTAGAAGATAGCAGTGCACATCTGAGCAACAGAATGAAAAGAAAACAATATAACTCAGCAAGAAATCAAATGGAGAGGATTAAAAAGACTGAAATGTTGAATTTATGTATTTCATTGTATCTAAGATGTCTTTAGTTATAAGACACTGTTATTTTATGTATGATCTAAAAAAAAATTCTGTTAAGTTCTTAGTAGTGAGGACTTTTTATTTTATAGTTATTAAAAAGGTCTACTTAGCCTTATTTATGCATATCTTTTGATTATATATCCACTCCATGCATGTGCATGCTGTTTTTGTGTGACTCTTTGTGACCCTATGGACAGTAATCCACCAGGCTCCTCTGTCCATGGCATTTCCCAGGCAAGAATACTGGAGTGGGTTACCATTTCCTTCTCCAGGGTATCTTCCCAACCTAGGGATCGAACCTACATCTCCTGTATATCCTGCATAGGCAGCTGGATTCTTTACCACTGAGCCACTTGAGAAGTATAAATACATCCCATGTATACGTAAAAAGGAAAATATAAGTGAAATAAATTGGTGTAGGTATTCCTAAAATGTTTTCATATTTATAAATTTCAACTCAGAGCTGTTGATATATATTTTTCCCACAGAATAATTTACGCTCCATCAAGAGTGTTATTTCTTAAAAGAGTGTTCCACTACCCCCTCTGACATTCTCCTAAGCCACTGACCCTGATTCTGCAAACTTAGATGCTGAAATGATCATATTTTGCTGCGCAAGAATGACAATCACATCAAGATTTCTACCAGGCAGAGAGATTGTAAGAGGCCAAAGATCATGAAAAATACATTATATTTCAAATGTGTTAAAAGTGAAAAAAATTTACATCTGAGAATAGACGAAATATAGCATATAAATCACAGTGTATATACTTAGTAATTGCTCTGTAGGAGACATATTAAGATGTTAACATTTTCAGTTTTGAGGGTAAAAAGGATGATGATAATGCATAATAATAATAATCCTGGCAATAATGCATGAGTTGGAAAGAGGATCCAATTTTGATGGATAACAGTTAGTTGTATTTTCCACATGTTGAACTGAACGTGAAAGCAGGTCATCTAACACATATTAAATTAATGATGGTATACATTTCTATGTGACTTTGAACTACCCTGGCCTTCATTTCTTTCTTTTCTGAATCAAGTAGTGCATGGTGAACATACATCAAATTATATTCTGTTTTATTACACATCTTCTGTTTTATGTGGATTTGTCTTTAAACTTTAGTTTCCTTTAGGGGTAGGACTGCATCTTAAGCCTCCTCTCTACTTCCTCCTCCACATCTGCTATAGTATTATTTTACTTACATTAGTGTTGCCTAGCAAATATTAGGAGATTCAGTAATTGAGAACAAGATACTTTAATGTGGAATGAATAATGATAACTAACATTTATTAAGTGTTACATGCTAGCTACTAAGATAAAGCACTGGTCAAATCCTACCCTTCAAACCTCGCTATGTTCAAGGAATATCTACCTTTCTTCTTATGGTTATAATATACTCACCTCTCGGTGTCTTGTGTCTTGATTCGGTGATTCACAGGTCTGACTTTGACTATTGATAGGAGAGCTTCTCTTAGCTGCAAATATGGATGAAATCTCATCACAAATTTTATAAGATTATATAAGTTATGTAAGGTATTTTATTTCCTTTTTTCTTTTATTTTTTGCATATGGTAACATATATGTTTCAATGTGTGCCTGCATGTTCAGTCGTGTCCAACTCTTTTCAACCCCATGGACTGTAACCCACAAGGCTCCTCTGTCCATAGAATTCTCCAGGCAAGAATACTGGAGTGGGTTGCCATTTCCTCCTCCAGGGGATCTTCCTGACTCAGGGATTGAACCTGAGTCTCTTGCACTGCAGGCAGATTCTTTACCATCTGAGCCATCAGGGAAATTCATCTCTTTTTTTGAATCAAAAACCCATTTTAATAGATCATTAATACCTTGAAAGAAGACATTTAATAGCTTGTATTGTAAGAGAAATCAAATGACCAATGAAAAAATCTTTGCATTTCTAGGTTATCAATATAGATTTCTTCATCTATTCAGTCCAACTAGATAGGTTAAGGTGCTAAAAAATTAGCCATACTGAAAATTGTAACAGTTAACATCCACATAGTACCTAACATGAGCTTCCCAGGTCACTCGGTGGTAAAGAATCAGCCTGCCAATGCAGGATGTAAAGGAGATGTGGGCTCAATCCCTGGGTCAGAAATCCCCTGGAGTAGGAAATGGAAACCCACTCCAGTATTCTTGCCTGGGAAATCCTGTGGACAGAGGATCCCATTGGGCTGCAGTCCATGGGGTCACAAAGAGTCAGACAAGACCGAGTGACAGCACCCACAGTACCTAATATCTGTCAGGTTCTGTTCTAAGTACTTTTACATATATCAACTCATTTAATACTTACAATAACCCTATAGTAGCTTATGGTATATTACCAGACTCATTTTACAGATGAAAGTGTTAAGGAACATGGAATCTGGGGCTTCCCTGATAGCTCAGTTGGTAAAGAATCCGCCTGCAATGCAGGAGACCTTGGTTCGATTCCTGGGTAGGAAAGATCTGCTGGAAAAGGGATAGGCTACCCACTCCAGTATTCTTGCCTGGAGAATTCCATGGACAGAGGAGCCTGGCAGGCTATAGTCCATGTGGTAGCAAAGAGTCAGACACAACTGAGCAACTAAAACTTTAAAGACATAAAAGCACTTGGGGGAGGTCAGGTTATATACCTGATAAAAGATCTGGGGTGAGGCATGAATTTTCCAGGCACTTTCAAGCTATCATGTTGTACTCTTTCTACAGCTCGACAATAGGACTCTTTCATTAGACAATCCCAGCAGTGAAATGCTTTGATAGCAAACAACAACAAACCTCCACTAAAGCAAGATTGTTAAGGAGCTGCTACTCCATCCATCATAATTATGATTAAGATGAAATAATAATAATGGCTACCACTTATTTACTTCCTATGTGCCTGGCATTCTTCTAAGCAATTTTACATTTATCAGCTCATTTATTCTTCATCATAATCCTGTAAGTACTTGTTACACTATCTTTATATGGGAGTTATATCTGTAACTCCCATGTTACAGATGAGGAAATGGAGGCACAGGAAGTTTAAATGACTTACCCAAAGTCATACTATCCACACCATGTGCTCCTGATTTAGAGTTTCTCATCATGTAAATGAACCCTGCACCCAGGGGCCCCTAGAGACAACTCCCTGGAGGAATTTTCTTCCTCTTGGTTTCTTAAGAGCAAATCACCCATCATCTTCATTCCTATGTATGCTGAGACCATCCCACTAGGTGTTTGAGTCACAAACCTGTAATGATATTCCTGATGGGCTTCACCAGTGCTGTGAAGCCGGAGACTTCAGGCTGTCTGTGTTCCCACATGGGCTGCCATATAACAAGTCCACTGGCCAGTCGAAATGTGAGGTCAGATTCCTAGAAGAGAAAGAAGATCTATGTCCAAGAACTGGCTGAAGGGAACAGTTAACACAACAATTAACATCTTTCACCCAATAGTTTGTGGCACAAACTATTGGGTGTAAGATGGGCTCAAGGGTGTATTGTGCAACATGGGGAATATTGCCAATATTTTGTAATAACTACAAAGAGAAAGTAACTTTTAAAGATTGTATTAAAAAAGAACATCATTCATAAGATTACTTTCAAAGTAGGGCAGATCTTCAAGATCTTCCTTCCTCACTCAGATGAGTGTTTCTAGGGTAAATCAATAGGCTTAAATTATCATCATAATGGGCTTCCTGGGTGGCGCAATGGTAAAGAATCTGTTTGCCAAAGTAGGAGACACATGAGAAACTCAGATTCTATCTCTAGGTCAGGAAGTTCCCCTAGAAGTGGAAATGGCAACCCTCTCCAGTATTCTTGCTTGGAAAATTCCATGGGCAGAGGAGCCTGGTGGGCTACAGTCCATGGGGCCGCAGAGAGTTGGACACAACTGAGCACGCACACATCGTTATCATAATTACTACAAAAATCATGGTGATCTCCTTTAGGCAAAATTAACAATTAATTAAGATGGAACTTTGGGCAGAGCACAAAATACAAATTCTTGTTTTCTATTAGCACTCAATGAGTCCTTTTTATTTCAAGGGCCTAGGCAGATCTCTTTACTTATGGTTATTGATATTGATATTATCCCTCTTAATGATTTAATTGTCCTCTTTCTCTCTCATAAGGCAATATCCTCAGATGCTGGCCATTTTGACTTTCTATTCTCCAGTCCTTCTCTTGTTCTTGCACTTCATGGAAACAGTAACCTACAGTTAGACCCCTCTTAGTATGTTATTTTGTCTTGCTGCCTTCTCAACAATCTAATTCCCTGAGGGCAGAGATGTAGCTGGCATTCTCCTCAGCCGCAAACTCTGTCACCATCACAACACTAAATTCAGTGTTAGGCATTAGGTGCACAATAGGTGCTCAATAAATATTTGCTGAATTGCACTGACTTTACAACCCATACTCATTCAATTTGTCTAGCACTGAAGGTCTCTGCCAGGAAGCACATTCTCTGCTTCATCATTACATCACTTTGAGTGGCTGAGGTGTTTAAAATGCAGTTATGTAAGTACAAACATATAACGCTCTGAGGTTACATTTTCAACAATGCAGCCTCTCAAATCAACGTAGACATGAAAGCAGAGAGTGTGATTGTAGATTAATGAGCACAACTGAGACCCAGGAATTCACTTAGGGTGGTGATTTGCAACCCTGGCTTGTATATAGTATAATCACCCAGGGAGCTTTTAAAACCTAGGAGGCTCAGGTCTCACTTGTTCCCCTAACCAGACCAATTCAGTTAGAATCACTGTGAGATTTGCTTAAGTTCCCCCAGTGACTCTCACGTTAGCTACGGTTGAAAACCACTGATCTAGAAGAACAAGAGCTAGCAAAAAATTGAAAAAATTGGGAAGAAAAGGATTCTGCAAATGGTGAATCAATGCAGCTCAGTACCAAAGGAAGCCTCAACTGGAAAGACTAGCTGAAATCCCTGAATCAATCTCTATGTTGGTATAGAGGGGACTCTGAGCTATAGACCAAGATCCTGGCACCACAGTGGTACTCATTACGGAGAAGCACCTAGTGGCCATATTGGAAAAGCACATAAAGCATTTGGTCAAATTCATTCAACAGTCATTCTACAAATATTTACAGACCACCTACTGTGTAACTGGTCCTATTCGAGGTTCTGGGATACAACAGGGAACAAAGCATATAAAAAAAATCTCTGCTCCCCAGTGCAAAGGAGAAGTAAAGCAGATGGAGAGAAATGGCGGGCAAGGTGTCAATGTTTTAGACAGAAAGGCCAGGGAAGGCCTTCTCGCACACGTGATTTTTGAGTAAGGATCTGAATGAAATGAAGGAGCTGCCACGTAGCTGTTTCCCAAAAAAGCATTTTATAAAAAGGGATCACCAATTGTAAAGGTCCTAGGTATGTCTCGTGGTCAAGAAACAGCCTAGAGACTATGAGCCTGGAGTCAGGTGAAGGACAGCAGAGTAAAAAAAATAAGATCAGGGACATTATTGAGTTTCAAATAATATAGCCTGATGGGTCATAGTAAGTTCAGTTCAGTCACTCAGTCGTGTCCGACTGTTTGCAACCCCGTGCACTATAGCACACCAGGTCTCCCTGTCCATCACCAACTCCCAGATCTTGCTCAAACTCATGTCCATCCAGTCGGTGATGCCATCTAACCATCTCATCTTCTGTCATCCCCTTCTCTTTAATGTTTCCTAGCATCAGGGTCTTTTCTAATGAATTAGTTCTTTGCATCAGGTGGCCAAAGTACTGGAGTTTCAGCTACAGCATCAGTCCCTCCAATGAACACCCAGGACTGATTTCCTTTAGGATGGACTGGTTGGATCTCCTTGCAGTCCAAAGGACTCTCAAGAGTCTTCTCCAACACCACAGTTCAAAAGAATCAATTTTTCAGCGCTCAGCTTTCTTCACGGTCCAACTCTCACATCTAGACATGACCACTGTAAAAACCACAGCCTTGACCAGAAGGACCTTTGTTGGCTAGGGGGTTAGTAGAAGATAATATTAATAGAGGGCAAAATGCTGATTGACTAGAGGTTGAGTGTAGGAGAAAAAGATGTCAAAGATCTTTGGCCTTGTCACTGATAAAGATGGGCAAGATAAAGAAGAAACAAGTCTGGGGATATCAGGAGTCTAGTTTTAGACATGTTAAGCTTGAAAGGTCTGTTAGACATTCAACCCCCACTCCAGTACTCTTGCCTGGAAAATCCCATGGGTGGAGGAGCCTGGTAGGCTGCAGTCCATGGGGTCGCTAAGAGTTGGACACGACTGAGCTACTTCATTTTCACTTTTCACTTTCTTGCATTGGAGAAGGAAATGGCAACCCATTCCAGTGTTCTTGCCTGGAGAATCCCAGGGACGGGGGGAGTCTGGTGGGCTGCCATCTATGGGTCACACAGAGTCGGACACGACTGAAGCGACTTAGCAGCAGCAGCAGACTTATTGAGTAAACAACTGGATGGACAGGTCTGAAGTTAAAGGGAAAGAATCCCTCTTCCTTGGAAATAAACATGGGGAAGACTGCCTGATATCATGTGTGGTATTAGATCCAGCAAGCAAGGAATTAACAGTGTGCAAAGTATATCAGATTTATCTCCGGAAATGCAGAATGCTCAGTTCATCAGGTTTTGATAAGTTCTTAGTTTCAGAGATGGGTTCTCTTCCATGTTTCCTCTAAGTGGTCTTGGCACAAAGCTCCAATGGACATGGCAACAGGAAGCGAGTTCTCTTAAACTGACATCCTGGCATTTAACATCTGCTCTCAATGTGACAATTACCACTCAGTGACAGTCACTGTCATTATTTTGTTTTTTGTTTGATATACTTCCAGCTAGACTGTATATTTCTTGAAGATAAATTGAGATCCCCTTCTGTGTATTTTTCCTTGACTATCAATACATAATTGTTGATTAACTGAACATATATTAGACTCTCCAAATAACACCAGCTCAATCTGATCATTCTTTAGACCCAAATACCTGCAGAAGCTATGGCCAACTCTTATGTGGATGTGTTCCTTTGTACATCCTTTTAAGCTGGATGGATGCATAAACTCTGAGAGCTAACTCCAATTCTAGAGTCCCCTTCAATGGCTCACTCAGTGTGATATATGCACACATGAACAGAAGCTCTGTAGTTGGAGAAGGTGCTCTTTATCATTCAAATAACTGTGGGGTGAATGGTCTGGGAAGGTTCTAAGAAAAACCAGAAGGTGTAAACATTCAAAAAATCAACATTTTCACATTACAGTTTCTTTTCTAGCTTGCAATGAAAATCTTTCTGTGATGACATGAAGCAATTCTAAATGTGTTTTCTAGTAACTTAGAGACATCTGCTTAAACAACTATTATTTTAAATTCTGTTTTAAAGTTGTTTACTTTAGACATATGAATTTTATAAAATTCTCCTTGAGGGCTTGTATTTTGTTTAATTCCCTGCAGTTTCTCCAGCACTTTGAACAGTGCCTAGCATTCAGTAGACATCCAATAAATATTTACTGAAGGAATAAGTGAATATAATCAAATCAAGAAAATACTGACAACACATTTAAAGTGGATTCCTTAGTTGTAACACATGTTGTCATTTATATTTGGCCTAGAATTATAATATTTGACAGAATATTCAGAATATTAGTTTTCTTACACAATATTTGAGCTAGTTTTAAGTTAAAAGTATTAAAATCCATTGAATTATACACTGTCCTACAAAAGAATGAGTCATTTAGATGTATTTGTTAATTAGTAAACTAATTCATTCAACAAATATTTATTAAATATCTACAAAACACAAACATTAATGTTAACTACCCCAGATACAATGATAATTTCTATTCTTAAAACATTTGCAATCTAGTGGGAGAGATGGACACACAAAGAGATAAGAATAATAAATAAACTAAAAATAACAATAAAAATACATCTAAAATATTATACAGATAGAGAAGAGGGGAGCCTAGGTCTTGAATGAAATTACAAAGAATGAGTAGGAATTTTCTAGGCAGAAGTGCAGGTTATGAGGGCATTCCAGGTAATATGACCAGAATGAAAATAGGTTTGGAATAAACCACATTATATTCTCAGGGAGCCTTCAAGCATTTGGCGCTCATAGGCAGGAGAGGTAGCCAAAAAAACACAAAACATGGAGGCCCCGTTTATCACACAAAGAAGCTAGAGTTTCACCCTCTGTATAGCGAGAAATTAGCAAATTAAGCATATTGGTGATATAGTCAGATCTGCATTTAGAGAGATCACTTTGGTGTTAAGGTTGGATTTTAGGAGACAAGCCAGGAGACTTGTAAATTCAGTTAGACACTGGCCCAAGTATGAGGCCCAAGGAAGAGATGATGAAAGCTTGGGTTATGGAGTAAATAGGGATAAAAAAAAATTAGAAATATTTAGGAGACAAAATGTGTAGAACTCTGTGATTAGCAGAATGTGTAGGTAAGGATGAAGGAGTAATCAAAGGAAGCTCCCAGGTTTTGCATTTATGTGAATGGGTCCATCATCTGAAATACAGAACATCAGGACAAGAGCTCATTCCAGGGAAAATCTGAAATGTCTATAGATCATCTATTTGGAGAAACTAGTTGAAAAGGTCTAGAGGCCAGGAGAGAAGGCTAGTTTAGAGATATAAAATTAGATGACCTCAGCCTATCAGGACACAAATGGTAAATAAATGAAGCAGGAGAGGAGTTCTTCCAAAGAAAGGATACAGTGGGAAGTGCAAAGGGTCTAGGTTATATCTCTGGGGAACCCCAATGTTGGAGAGGCAGGCAAAGAGGATGAGCTCTCAAAGGAGACAGCAGAAAGAGCCAGAGATGCAACGAAAACTGGCAGAGTGTGGTGTCACCAGAGGAATGGAAATCTTCAAGAAGAAATGAAGGTAAGTTCAAATGCAGCTGAGGTTTAATGAATTGAAGACAGCAAAGTAAAGATTAGGTTCAATAGCCCAAGGTGGCTGATGACCCTGGTTAGAAGAGTTCTAGCACAGAAACCAAGAAACAGTATAGCTTTGCAGAAAGTCAGATGGAATTGGATTTGAATCCCACCTTGCCTACTTAATGAGCTTGATTATTACCTCTCTGGACTTCAGTTTCCTCTTTGGTAAAATCTACCTTCCTGTGGGTGTTTGTCAAAATTAGAAATGACAGGTGAGAACTGTTACATACTAGAGGAAAGCAGGAGCAAGTGGAAGGGTTTGGGAAGGTGAGAAGTGGAAGCACAGGCTCATGCCTAGACTGGATTTCAGCCCTCATGACTCCCAGAACACCATGTCCTATAAGAGCCTCAACCTACAACACTGTCTATGTGAGCACGGCGTGGGGACTTGAGGGAGACAAGACAAGGACTGACAAGTGGGGCATCGCATGGAGCTTGATGGCACAATGTGTAGGCATACCAGTCGAGATGGCTGTTGGTTTCTGCCCCAGGAGCATGCAGAACACTGGGGCTGGAAAGAAAAGGTGGCTTTTGGTCTTGATCTTGGGCTGGAGTTCTGAGGATCAAATGCAATGGAAGAATAAGGAGGCCATTAATGGCGCTGATGAGGAGCAGTTGACACGGCTAGAGCACAGATATGGAAGGGAGATAGGGCCTGATAACTAGCAGGCAAATGAAAAATCTAGGTCAGTGGATCTCCATCCAGGGCAATTCTCACCCCTCCCCACTCCTTAGGGATATCTGGCAATGTCTAGAGTCATTTGTGTTTGTAACAAATCAGAGGGAGGAGGTATTACTGGCGTCTAGTGGGTAGAAGCCAGAGATGCTACTAAACATCCTACAAAGCACAGGACAAAGAATTATCTGGCCCCAAATGCCAATGGTGCCCCAACTGAGAAACCCCAATCAAAGGATTATACATTCCCCGCTGAAAAAAGCAAACCCCTCACTCAGATTAAAAAAAAGAAAAGCCTTATAGGGAAATCTATTGACTCATTAATATTTTTATTCCCTATGGCATCTAGAAAAATGATAAAAACAATAGTGCTAGTAATAATAGCCAGCAATAATTGTTAGAATACAATACTATGTATTAATCACAGTGCCATGTTTTATAGGGATTGTTTTACCTCCTTATAAATACTCCAATCCCAGGCCAGAGATGAACTTGGCTACCTTGATCCAGCTTTTCTCAACTATCTGTGTAGTCTCCCCTGAAAGAAGATCTGGCTACTTGTCTACTCATAATTCATAATGCTGATAGCTATAAAGTGCCAATGCTAAATACTATCATTTATTAATGCCTTTTTGTGCATCAGGTGAGCATTTTAATTTGTTTAATCCTCATAATACTCCATAAAATTATTCTCATGTTCAATTTACACTTGAAAAAACTGAGGCTTAAAGAAGTTAATTGTTCAATGTCCTTTCTGTGTAGAATACAAAGCAGCAAGCACTGGATTCTAACTCAGGACTGCTTCCAAAACTGACATTCTGCATGTTTCCAAATAAAATTATAGTCATTCTGGACACTTCCAAATTTTTTAATCTAGATAATATTTCTTTACAAATAGATAGTTATTCTTTACAAATAGATATTTTTTTTAAGGAGTTTTCTTTCTTGCCCTTTCTATTTAAGGGACTATGTTCCTATGTGTATTTGCTACTTTTAGCACCTGGATCAGCTTCTGATGGTAACTTGGGTTTATTCAGCGACAGTCATTAAATATTTATTGATTGTCTCTTATATGCAGACACTATTCTAGACACATCAGACACCGTTGTGACCTAGACAGGCAGTGTCCCTTTGCTCAAGAACCTCGGGTTTGGTGGGGGTGATGGGTAAGAAACATGTAAACATGTTTACATGTAAAGAACATACATGTTTACATGTAAAAACATGTAAAGAAACATTTAAAATAAATTCAGGTACTGATAAGTGTAAAGAAGGAAACAATGAAAAACATAGATCATGTCCTAGTGGCACTAAAGTAGCCAAGGAAGTATTTCTGGGTTGGTAACAACTACATGGTGAGTAAATTGATGAGAAGAACACAACCATGTGAAAATCTAGGGGTGGAAGGTGGGAGTAAATCATTCAAATAGAAGGAAAAAACCAGCGCAAAGATCTGAAAGCAAAGACAACCTTCTTGGGTTTGAAGGTGAGCCTTTGTTGAGCCTGCAAGTTTCGGAACAAGAGAGAGCCAGTGAGATTGAGAGAGATGAAGCCAGGCAGGTGGGCAGAATTCACATCCTGCAGGTCTCGTCGGCCAGGGGGACACTCTCAGGTAACGTTTCCATTAAGCGTAACCTTTATCAAAGACTTTTAGAAATAGAAAGTGTAATGTTTTTAAAGCATAAATTTAATTAAATCACATTTGATTTTTTTTTTTTAATAATTTTGATAGGCAACGTGGCCAGTGCATGTGAAGCACTTTCGGAGTCCACAGGTAATTTCAGTTTTAGTCCTATCAGCAATGGGACAGAACCAATCAAAAGTGAATTTTAACTGAAAATAAAATGGATGAAAAGACTCTCTAGTCCATCCCCCCCATAATGGCTGTTAATGGTCTTACAACCACCTTCATATATATATGTGCTTAGTTGCTTAATTGTGTCAGACTCTGCGACCCCATGGACTATAGCCTACCAGGCTCCTCTTTCCATGGGGATTCTCCAGGCAAAAATACTGGAGTGGGTTGCCATTTCCTCCTCCATCATATATATATAATATATTGCAAAAATTAAACAGTCATTAGGATCCTAATATTCTGTTAAAGAATAGTTGAGTGTATTAACTCCTTCTATGTCTTATCAGAGCACTCAGATGGAATGTTGCAATTTATTCATTCTCAGAAGTAACAAATAGTTCTTGATTTCTTTCCATGTACTTGATTTTTTCCCCATGTACTTTCACGTACTGTGTCTTCACATTTATTCACCCTGTGTTTAAATATCCAAAATTTTATGCAACAGAAGATCCAAGAGGTTAAGTGAAATCACCTAGATCACACAGCTAGAAAGTGGTAGCACAGTGACTTAAGGTAATATTGTCTCTTTCAGATCCAAGGGGTACCTGTATATAACTGTATTTTAATACAATTTGTTTCCATGAACTACGTTTTCTATTTTATGCATTGAAAAATATTTTGAAAAGAAATTCATACATGGTACACCAAACTGTCAAAAAGTCTGCAGCACATAAAAAGTAAAAGCTTCTGCTCTAGACCCTGCATTATGTTCTGGAAATACAAAAGAGACAGTGACTAGGTCTCCATGGGGAAGGTCAGAGGAAAAGCTTCATGGAAATGATGACACTGAAGTTTGAAGAACCTCGGAGCAAAAGGAGGGCAGCGCTAACAGCAAGTGCATATTCAGGGAATGGTTCACTGGCTCCCAGAACTGGATCATGGGGTGGGCAGTAGGGATTGGCAGTGGTCAGTTGAGAGGACTTAAGCTCCAGATCATGGTTGACTTTATATGTCATATTTAATATGTTGGGCATTATCATGGAGTAGATGGAGACCTATCAAGGATTTTTAAGTAGGAGAGTCATGGTTTTGAAATAATGTTTAATATCTTAATATAGAAACAAAGCTCTCTTCCTATAAGCTCATACAAAGACATGGGCACACAATATGGAAATATCATCTGAAGCCCACCCTCACCTGACCTCTAGTCCCCCTTAACCCTAATCAGCTTTCTGCTTACCTTGATTCTGTGTACCAGAGGAGCAAACAGAAACACAAAGAGCTCCACAGTAGCCATGGAGTTCTGGAAAATCTTCCTTCGGTTGTTTTCTTCCTCATCATTGGAGGTGCTTTGGCAAGGTTGCCCTGGAGAACCCTGGTTTTCAACCTGGTGGATGAAAGCACTGCTGCTGCCACCCCAGCTGGAACCTCGGTCTGTGCCCCCAAAACGCTCACTGTTGCAGTCCTGTGGGGCCTCCAGGAGCATCCAATGCAGGGTATGAAGGAGCTTTGTCTCAGCAACACCCAGTTTATCCTGGTGTCCTGCATAGCACAACCACACAGTCAGGTTAAGGCAGACTCTGTGACCAGGACAATGATGTCAGCCTTGCATCTGGGAAGAACATCCTTGCTTTAAGGTTCTGTGGCTTGATTTCCTGGGAGACATTAGCATTTCTCTGCACCACTTACAGCCACTGTGAGAAGGGTTCATTCTTGTCTGGGGACTTTCTAACTGGCTGCAGTCTTTATAGAATGATATGTTGCCACAGGGAAAGGAACTGCATACCTCATGTCTCTTCAGCCAGATACCCACATATATTTTCAAATAAAGAGTACAATGGTTAAGACTATTGGTTCTGAAGATAGCTACTCCATTTTGCATGCATGTATGCTCATTATTCCCAATCTAGGGATCAAACCCATGTCTTCTGAGTCTCCTGCATTGCAGGTAGATTCTTTATCCACTGAGCCACCTGGGAAGACCTGGTGTGATTAGGAAAGGCCCCTCTATAAGGGAACACTCGAGTAAAGATCCACATAAGGGGAAGGAACCAGATGGAGAAGAGCTTGGGATAGATGGCTAGGACATAAAGCTATGTGGGAAAAGCAATCTGCAAAATAATCTAAGCAAGAAAAATAACACGTATGTGCAGGCATGCATGCATACACACAGTACTACAAAGTTGGGAAAAGATCTGGAGGGGAGCATGCCAAATTCATGAAGGTGGTTGCTTTAGACATTGGGAGGAATAAAGGACAGCTCTGGGTTAGAACTCATCTTGAAGAGGCAAGAGTTCTTAGTTTCTCTATAATATTCTAATGTTCAAAAGGAGGAAATATTCACAGTTTACTTGCAAAATTAAAAAATTTTTAAAAAGAGAGCTAGTTCCCTCACTGGCAAAATGGAGATAACAGTGATATGAAACTAAGCGAGATTTTGTGAGAATTAAATGAGAATGTGTGCCAAGTGCCTGGGGAAGTAGTAATACAGGTTGCTATTGTGGGTGTTATTATGAGCGTTACCATGAATGAGGACAATGGTGTGTTATGGAGAAGAAATGCAGGTGCACCAACCTAGCTTGTTTCTGTTTGACAGCAGGGTTGCAGTGCAGTGGAGGACATGAGGCAAAGCAGCTTGTACCAGTTCCCATCTGGAAATGCTCTGGATGGCTTCAGAGAGGGCTGGAGAGAGGCCATGCAGCTTGTTTTCTACTAACACTCGTTCAAAGGACTATAGACACCAAAAAAAAAAAAAAGATTAAAATAAGAAATTAGAGATTCAGATGGGTGGAAAAATAGACAAGGTATTGTATATCCTAAAAGATGCAAATCACTAGTCCAAATTCTTTAGAGTGCACTCACACTGCATTTCATTGTACATGTTGACACGAAATGAGTCAACGATAATTTCCTATTATCTACCCATTTTCAAACAGGCTTCCCAGTTGGCCTGCATGCTAAGTCGCTTCAGTTATGTCTGATTCTTTGCAACCCTATGGACTATAGCCCACCAGGCTCCTCAGTCCATGGGATTCTCCAGGCAAGAATACAGGAGTGGGTTGCTACTTCCTACTCCAGGGGATCTTCCCAACCCAGGGATGGAACCCGCTTCTCTTATATCTCCTGCACTGGTAAGCAGACTCTTTTACCACTAGCACCACCTGGCCCCAAGTAGCGCTGGTGGTAAAGAACTCGCCTGCCAATGCGGGAGTCAAGGGATGGAGGTTTGATCCCTGGATAGACAAGATCCCCTGGAGAAGAAAATGAAAAACCACTTCTGTATTCTTGCTTGGAAAAATCCCATGGACAAAGGAGACTGGCGGGGCTCCATGGGGTTGCAAAGAATTGGACACGACTGAGTACACCCATTTTTAAGTTTTTGATCCAAAGTATATGGCCAGAATTATTAAATGATTTTTATTTCCACCAAAATAAGCTCCCATCAAAAAGAGTACACCACATTTAACTGTATGAAATGTTTAGAAGTAGTATTTTATAAAATGCGGTTGGATCATCTAAAGGAGCTATCACTGCTGCAGCCCAAGGCGAGATGTCTTTTGTAAAAGTATCTGGAGGGACAGAATTTTTGTGAACATGCAACAAATGTTAAATAAGATAGACCTCTTATAAGAGATCTGATTTTGGAGTCCCTGAATTATTCCATGTGCCTAGCAATGACCTGGCATAGGACACCCCTTATATAATGCCTGGAACCATAAGATAGTTAATATACCTATTGAATAAATAAAGAAAAGTAGGGAGAGAATAAGGGAGGGAGAGAGGAGGAAAATAAGCCATTTTTTTGCTTTGTTGGTTTATTAAATCTTCCATCCTGGCCAAGGAAGCAGTACTTTTCAGCAAGCAAAGCACTTACCTCTCCCCCCAGAACAAGTTTGACCTATTGAGTTGTTATTTTCTTTTTGAAGGTGGAGGAAGATATTATTGTAGGGTGTTGGGGAAAGTGTAGTTGCCAAATATTAGAATAAATTTAATAAACACTTGACTTATATGAACAGAACCCGATTGCTACTTGATGTCCCAAATGGTCTAGAGAATTGTGTTCTCCACAATCATAATACCAGTCCCAAGTGCTCAAGCTGTATTATTGGAATTATTAGGATATACAAGAAAAATATAACTTAATACAGAGATTCTTCAAAGAAAGCTATTTCAATTTGACTCAAGAAAGAAAACAAATTCACTTTCATAATGAAAGGCATGCTGGGGTTTGGTATGGAGTTTGATCAGAGATGTAGTCTCTGGGGTTTTCTTAAAGAAACTAGATAAAGGCAGATCCAAACACTTTAAAATTCCTCAGCCCTTGGTTCCTAACTATTCATTAAGTAAAGGATGTGTATGTTAGACATTAAAAGATTATAAAGATTTATACAGTCTTGATGAATGCAATTTTGGAGAATGAGTTATATACCTTATAACCTCAGGAAGCTTTAGATACTTACTGTCATTTTTCTTCTTAAATGTTACTAATATAACTTTTTGTCATTTTAAACCAGGGAAATTGTTTTCTATACTTATATCACTGTCTATCTGCAGCTTTGAATGTGACTTAGTTACTTGATATTATGTGACTACATTAAAATGTCAGACATATCTTTGCCAAGAAGAGAGAAAAGTCAGGGTTATTTTAAGCTAGTATAACTGTAAGCTTGGTTTGAGGAAGACTCAGAGATTTCAAGTGTCAAATTACTTTAACCTGAGCTTAGTACAATAAATTCCATTAAACAGTTAGATATAAAAAATATATGTGACAATTTTGAAGAGCAGGAAATGCAACAAAATAAATTCCTAGTTGACTGTGTTTTGTGCATATATGTGTGTGTATGTGGGGTGTTTAATTTTCCAGTTGGCTTCTGTATAGTTTGTGGCCCTAACACATTTCAGAGCTCCTTACTAGAAGGTCATCTATTCTCTGTCTGGTCATTTGCAAGTATCATGGCAATATCCAAATGAGTAGGTTTCTACTTTCAGGCTATAATATATACAATGTGGGGCTTCCCCAGTAGCCCAGATGGTAAAGAATCTGCCTGGAATGCAGGAGACCCTGGTTCGATTCCTGGAGAAAGGATAGGCTACCCACTCCATTATTCTTGCCTGTATGATTCCATGGACAGAGGGACCTGGCAGGCTACAGTTCATGGAGTTGCAAAGAGTCAGACATGACTGAGTGACTTTCACTTTCACATACAATGTAAAGACCTTTATGTGAGCACCCTCCTCAAGTAAGCACAATACACTTAAACTTATTACTATGTATTAATAATATGAGAGGAGATAAGTCGTAACAAGGTAAGCATACTGGAAAGTGTGCTTGGATAATCAAGATATAGCTTAAATAAAGCACCTAGTTTACACCTAGAAGATTTCACGTATTATGAATATCTTGAACTAATTCTAGCCCATAAACCCATTCACACTAAATTATCAAAATTATATAAATAAAACATTCATTTATTAATTAAAAGTATAGGAGATAGAAATTTTAAACATGGCGCTATAGAGAAAGTACCGTAAGGGAATGATGAAAGAAAAAATTAAAAGTACAAAAAAGCAAAGATTACCTCTTGTACCTTTTGCATAATGAGTTAACTAGTAAAAACTTAACAAAATGAATTTCAGCTAAGTACCCCGAAACCAGACGAGCTACTTATGAACAATTTATCGAGAACCAACTCATCTATGTGGCAAAATAGTGAGAAGATTTGTAAGTAGAGGTGAAACGCCTAACGAGCCTGGTGATAGCTGGTTGTCCAGGAAATGAATATAAGTTCAGCTTTAAAAAATACCAAAAATACAAATAAATGCACTGTATTTTTAAAAGTTAGTCTAAAAGGGTACAGCCTTTTAGAAACGGATACAACCTTGACTAGAGAGTAAAATTTGATAATACCATAGTAGGCCCAAAAGCAGCCACCAATTAAGAAAGCGTTAAAGCTCAACAATAAACTTATATTAATTCCAATAACAAACAATCAACTCCTAGCCTTAATACTGGACTAATCTATAAAAATAGAAGCAATAATGTTAATATGAGTAACAAGAAGTCTCTTCTCCCTGCACGAGTTCAAGTCAGTATCTGATAATATTCTGACTGTTAACAGCAAAATAAGAATAACCCAACCATAAATAACTTATTAAATATACTGTTAATCCAACACAGGAGTGCACTTAAGGAAAGATTAAAAGAAGTAAAAGGAACTCGGCAAACATTAAACCCCGCCTGTTTACCAAAAACATCACCTCCAGCATAACTAGTATTGGAGGCACTGCCTGCCCAGTGACAATCGCTATAGTCCATTTGCTCTAAAAACCCATTTTAATTTTGCTTCACAGTTTATTACCTTGTCTTCAATTTGTAAAAAGACAATTTTTTTTTTAAAGACAATTTTTAAGTCATGAGATTCCCTTAGAATCTCAGGACAAGTGCACTCTATTTTGCATAAATATTCATAGCATTATTTTCATAATTATTTCATATCATCCACTTTGGGGTTGCACAAAAAATGGAAGACATAAAAGTTCAATATTGCATATTACGTTGAGTAGTTCATAGGCTTGCATTTTATGAGCTTCCACTACATAATATAACGTCTTGTTGCTTTGATAACATTTCTCAATTTTGTTGATTAAGGATTTGACTGTTATAACTTGCCCTCTGTCTCCTGATTCTCTGTTACTTCCCCACTCTCTCTTCTGCTCCACTCCTCCCCATTTAGGTCCTTTAGACTCACTTTCCCTTTGCTCTTCTCTCAGCTATTCCTCAGTACCTTCCTTCAAATTTTTGTCCAAGGGTCACATAAGCAGGCAAACCTTATCTATCCACTGCTTCTAACATGAAAACTTAACCCTAGTGCTCTATAATTTCCTTTCTTGCTTAAATTTTCTCCATAGTATATATCACCATTTGGCTGGCTATCTATTTTATTCATTTATGAGGGTTCCATCCCCCTCCCAGTAGAATACAAACCCTTTATTTGTTTTGATTATTGCTCCATCTCATCATCTAGAACCGTGTCTGGCACATAGTAGGTACTCAGTAATGTTCGCTGAGTGAATTAACATGTATAGTCAGTACATTTAACATCATTCTTTCAAATTACCACTTGATATGTGGAAATACTCATTAAATGATGAATATCACATACCACACAAGAGGCTTCATACTGCTTTCCCAATTTAGGCCTCAAAAATGCACTGTAAAATTAAGAAAGATAATTATTATAAACACAGGCAAAATTATTATTAGAGCATCCTTATGATATTTTTCAACGGTTAAAACGTGCAAAAGTCAAATTTCATGCCTCCCTATGCCTTGTTAATGAGCAGGTGTTAAACAGCTGACATTTGCTTTTTTATGTGCAATTACATATATGAAAAAGGTCTGAATTTCTACATTTTTCTGTACCAACTCTTATTCTGAAGACTTGTTATCTAATTGGATCCTAAATAGCCAGTGGTCAGAAGTACTGCATTACTCATGTGTAAAGTCATACTCAAAACTGAAAAAGGAACCCAGCTTGTGGGTTATGATTTTCAGAATCTAATTTCTTATCTGATAAATCTCTAACAATAAAAATAATAATGGAAATCTTGTTTCCTGTTTATTGGAATAGGTTACAGGTTTTTGTTTTGTTTTGTTTTCCTGGAAAAAGAAAATTCTTATAAAAAACGAGTCTTCTCAGAGGCTTTAACCAGGAAGATTACACTGGCTGGATCTGAGCAAAAATGGTTAACAAGTGGGCTTAGCAGATATTCGACAAGCAGGAGCTGGAAAAACAACAGGTCAACGGGCTGGAATCACAGCAGGAGACGGAGGGGGAATTGGACACAGGAGCACAACCAGTCATAATTATCTCCCCTAATTCCCCGCCCCCTCCCCCTAGGTTCTCTGCCCTCTCACCCCGAAAATAACGTATATTGCCAATCTGCTTGTCGTCAAACTTCACTGAAATATTTTTTTTAATGCGTGTTTTTAAGCGGGTTTGGAGGGCTTGCTTTCCAGCCCCAGAGAGGGAGCTGCAAGCTGTGGCGCGGCCTCAGCACCAGCGACCACAACCCAGGCGGCCCCAGGAGCGCCCCCAGCCCTGGGCGCCCGCGGTGCGCCCTCTGCGCCCCTCACCTGGTTTGCCGCCACAGGAAGGTCTGGATGGGCAAGGGGATCCCACGGCCGCCGTCTTGCTCCTGGCCCTCGGAGCTCTTCCTCTTCACCATGATGGTGGCTCCTGGGAGTCCTGCTGCAGGACTCAGCGCTGCCTCCTCGCTAGCCGCTGCCCCCGCCTCTTCCTCCCTCTGCTCTCCCCAACTCTCATCCCCTCCTTCCCCGAGGCAGAGCAGACTCTCTCCGCCCTGGTCCCCCGTCCCTCTCCCCTTCTCCCGCCCCTCCTCGAGCGTGGAACATGGCTGCAGGAGGAGGGGAGGGCTGGAGGAGCCGCGGAGCGAGGAGGGGGGCGCTCGGAGGAGCGGTCCGCCTCGCCGCCCCCGCGCCCGCTCCTTGCTTTCAGCACCTCCCACTGTGGACAGCGGCCCGCGCCGGACGCACGGGCGCGAGACCAGTGCAGGGGTCAGGTTGAGCAGTCTTGGGATGGTCAAAAGGGTCCAAACTCCGCATCGCACGCAGGTCCCCTGCGTGGCCTCTTTAGCCCCCAGATTTCGGCTTCCTCCCTCCGGAACTGCACCCTAGGAGTGTCCCCTCTCCTGCTTCCCAACCTTGGCATCTGAAGAACTGTGAAGGTCTAGGGAGGAGGAGCTTTGGGAAACCGCAGAGCAGTCACTAACTCTGGCATCATTCGCACCTCTCGCAAGGAGGTCAGGAGTCCACCCTTGGGGTTTAGCAGAAGGAGCACATGACAATTATTAGAAGTGTAAACCAGAAAGGAAGCAAGCTTGCCAAGGCAGAGAAGGCTTGAAAGTTCTCTGATGGGAGAACTTATTGTAAAATGGAAACCACAGGAGAGTTAAAATTCTTGTTTTGCCAAAGCAGAAATATTGCCAAACCAGCAAGTTGTGGGTATCAGTTATTACGACTAGAGAAAGAACATTTGAATCATGCTGTTAGAAAATGCGGTTTATTGTTTATAGTTACTTAGTGAACTTGGGTGACTATCTCATTGATAACTGCCATTTTACTCAAGCTGTCACAGTCAAAGCCCTATACAACAGTTTATAAGTGGATTGTTAGATGTTTTATCTGGTAGTAACACAAGTAGGGATGGGGTCAAGTGAAGCAGTTTGAGTGAAATATTCATTGCTGTGGATTCAAATATTTGCAAGTGAACACAGCCACACACCATTTTGAACAAAGATATTGGTGTGACCCAAGAAATGGAGAATCAGAAGCCCCAGAGCCTAATCTCAACAGATAGAAATAGTTTCTGTTAACCACATGTGTGTCTACTCCATATAGAGAGAACTATAGTGTATTTATTGGTATTTTCAGTCAGAGAAATAATGTCTTCATTTCATTTATTGAACTTTTTTTTTTTTAACCACCATTGGACAAATAATTTTATAATTAGTATCAGCAGATCTGTCAGGAGGGAAAAGATAGCAATGATGTTTTATAATATCAATGAGTAATTTCATTTCTTAGAATTATAATCATGCTTTTTTCAATAATTCATAAATACTTTCCATTGCTTAAGTCAAGCGCGTGTGTGCCCAGTTGTGTCTGACTATGTGCGGCTCCATAGATTGTAGCCTGCCAGGCTCCTCTGTCCCATGGAATTTTCCAGTCAAGAATACTGGAGTGGGTTGCCATTTCCTCCTCCAGGGGATCTACTGACCCAGGGGTCAAACTTGAATCCCCTGCATCTCCTGTATTAGCAGATGGATTACCACTAAGCCACTTGGAGCTAGGACAAACTAAGGAAACTTAGAGATAATCTACCTCTACTTCCAAATTTTACTGATAAGGGCGATGAGACCTAGAGTTACAAAGTGATTTCCTAGCTGGCTAATGGTAGATCCCAAAGGAGAAGGGATCTTCATGATTCTTGACACAGAACTTTTTTTTAATAGTTCTGTGCTTAGTTGCTCAGTCGTGTCCGACTCTTAGAACTCCATGGACTGTAGCCTGCCAGGCTTCTCTGTCTATGGGGATTCTCCAGGCAAGAATACTGGAGAGGGTTGCCATGCTCTCCTCCAGGTTTCTTTTATAGGCTAGATGGTAAATAGGTTTTCTTTCTTGTGTCAACTCAGATCAATTGGTAAGGCCTTTCTGTTGCAAAAGACTGTGAAGTTAAGGCAGGTACTTTAAGACAAAACTGCTATTATTGATTAGTGCTGTCTGCTAAGTGAACAGCATGGGGGAAATAACAAATGTTTGCTATGTCTTCTCAAAACTTCTTTATACACAATCCTTGAGGCTAAACTTTCAATATTTCTTCTGATTTGCTTGTAGCTGCCATCACTCGCAATGTTACTTATGCTGTCAAAGGTTTTCTACTCTAAGAGAGGTAATATGGCTCAGTGGGCCAAATTTAGATTTGATCACTAGGAAACATGTGAGTCTCAGTGTTGGGATCTTCACTGAGTTTTCTTCAATTGTTTCTCAATTTCTCATGTTGCTAAATGTCTCTGGCTTCTACATTATTACCACATGGCCTGTCTGACTAGGATCTCAAAGGTGCCAGGGCAGGACTAAAGTTCTGAGTACAGGTTAACTCCAGTTTTGCTCCTCTTGAAGACATCTTTTAATATGAATCTTGAAATAAAGAAAAATATGAATAAACTATTTAGAATCTATTTACTGAGTCTGTCTCATACACCAAGCACTAATCTATATAGATTCCTGGCCATAAGAAATTCACAGTATTGAAGGGAAGACAGGCAAAGAAGAGTGTACAACTGGAGACATGATACACATTCAATTATAAAGAAAGGGACAAGACATAAAATATAGGCAGGAATCAGATGGAGAAAGGTTATGTACAGCCGGATATAACATTTGGTTAGGATAGGAAGACTTTAATAGGTCAGTAAAGACTTCATATCTATTTAAAAATGACTGATATGACTAGAATGGAGAGCTTATTTGAAATAGGCAAGATTGCATGTGGGCATCTAAGTCTGAAGATTAGGAAAATATCCTCTGAGATCCTGAACTAAGGACATGACAGTAGAGTTAGAGATAAGGAGGCGTTGGACTTGCAGAGGCGGAATAGATAGGGCTTGATAACAAAGTGAGCGTGGGGAGAGAAAATACCACAGTAGTTAAAAGCTTAGGAGCTTAGCCAAAAAAGTTTTGACTATAACCCTGCCTTGTTTAGTTATAATGCCCTGGGAAATGTTCTTCAATAAGGTTTTCAATTAATAATACTTTCTCCATAGAGATGTTGTGAAATTAATGTTAACACTTGTAGAGAATTTAAGTGAGTCCCTGAACTATACTAAGCTTTCAGTAAATATAAACCGAAACTCTACATTTTCTATCTTGAGCAACTGAGTAAAGATGATCTCGTTCAAAGAGAGAAAAGTTGGCAAGGAGAATCATGTTCTTATTTTATGAGTGTGTGTGGGAACATTAATGAATTTTCCTTGAGTATGTATTGGAAATTCCAATGGATATCATGAAGAGGCAGCTAGAACTATGAATACAGAGCTCAGAAAAGTTAACAGTGTAGGATAAATTGATTAACATGATAGAAAAGGTCATTGAAACCATGGAAATATCAATAGGTAAAGTAATTCAGGTGAATGCACAGAATGAGAAAAAAAAGATACGAATTTGGAAGAATAGGGGGCATCAACTTTAGTTTTTTGTCACAAAAGATGTTTCTGAGAGGTGACATCATAGGGTAGGGTGGGCAAAATTCTAGATAGCCCCCAAGATTCCTGCCCCCAGGTAAATGTCTTCTTCAAGTTTTTCATTAAAAAACATACGATCTTAGGTGCTGCAGTGAAACAATTTACATACTCTTAAAATTAAAAAAAAATTATTGATAGGCTTTATTTCTTAGAGAAGTTTTGGTTTAAAGAAGAATTTGCACACAAGGTGTAGAGAGTTCTCATCTATCCTATCTTTCCCAGCCCACAGTTTCTCGTGCATTGATGTGTTACATTTGTTTTATTGATAAGCCAATTTGATAGGTTATTATTAACTGAATTGATAGTTTACATTAAAATTCATTCTTTATGCTGTAGAGTTGCATAGGTCTTTCCAAATAATGTCATCTATCCATCATTATGATATACAGAGTAGTTTCCTACTTTGAAAATTCTCTCTGCTCTACCTTTCCCACTAATTCTTTCCCATACTTCCCCAACCTCTGGCAACAACTAACCTTTTCACTGTCTCTATAGTTTTATCTTTCCTAGAATGTCTTATAGTTGGAATAAAATAGTGTGTAGTTTTTTCAGATTGGCTTCTTTCACTTAGTATTTAAGTTTCCTCCTTGTCTTTTTGTAACTTGATAGTTCATTTCTTTTCATGGCTAAATAACATTTAATTTATATGGATGTACCACTGTTTGTTTAGCCTTCTTTTTTTTTTGGCCACACCAAACAGCTTGTAGGATCTTAGTTCCTCAACCAGGGATCGAACCTGGGCCTTGGCAGTAAAAGTGTGGAGTCCTAAGCACTGGACCATCAGGGAATTCCCCATCCATTCATCTACTGAAGGAACACCTTTGCTGCTTCCCATCCTTGGCAATTATGAATAAAGATGTCATACACATTATGTGTGCAGGTTTTTGATAGATGTAAGTTTTCAACTCATTTGGTAAAATTCCCTGGAGTGTAATTGTTGGACTTTATTTTAAGACTGATTATCTTTGTAGGAAACTGTCAAACTGTCATTTCAAATTGTCTGTACCATGGAAATTTTTTAAATAAGAGATTTGGATATGCTTATGGGCCAAAATTAAAGGGTCATTTTCGAAGGAAATGCTGGATATATTTGAGAAAGAATAATTAACAAAGTTCTGAAGCACAGCTGGACTCATCATTCTTCGGTGGAAGAGTAATTCCTAAGAAAGGAGATCAAAAGGAAGAATGGTAGAGGCTAAGTTAGAAGGAAAAGGGGAAGAATGAGAATATGAGAGATCTCAGTCTTGACGGCCTATGTAAAGCCGTGAAGTAATCAATTAGGTCCTTTTTAAAGAATGATATTTAATAGAAAAAGCTGGATATCTTTCAGAAAAATATTAATAGCAGACTTGTTATATGTCATTGAGTACTTGTTATCTGTCCAGGTTTGTCTTAAGATTATCAAT